TAATCGATACAACAGGTGAACTGGGTATCTCAATTCGATTTCTACAAATTTATTGATTTTAAATCACCAACTTTTCAACAAGACGCCGTGGCGCCATGCACAATTTTTATTCGACACGTTTTAACAAAATATTTTTAGTTTAAAAGATACAAATGAAAATGTGTGTAAATTTTCGCGTTTAGGCGTTCTTATTTTTTTTTACCCCTATCTAGCGCTGTTTTGAACGCAAAAATCAAAAGTCAAAAACCGAGTTGCACAATTTCAATGCTATTTAAATTCAGTAGTATTTCTCCTCTAGCTCTTGAAGTCTCCGAGCCTTTGTCTGGGAACTAAAGCCCCTAAATTTTCATTTTCATAAGGGAAATAACTCATGAGCGGAAGTTGATTTTGAAATATCTTCAAGCATTCTGTTAGAGTTTTGTGACGTCTAGAAATTCTGGAAAATTGAGCAAAATCCGTTGAGAAAAAAAGAGAATAATCTTAACCAACAGAATCATCAGAAGGTCTTCCGTTGGAAACGGAAGACCCTAATTAATTAAGTACATGTATTTACCCACAATACATCAGAGATACTCAAGCTGTAGAAAGTCAACTTAGAACAGTTATACATATCTTTAAATGACATAAGCCGAAGGCAATTGAGTTTCAAAATCTTCTGTTTAAAAAAAGACAAGTACTAGGAAACAAAATGCGTGTTCATACATGTACATATACCTGAAAAATAAAATAGTTTTAAGGGTCCTCCTCACACCCCCAGCTTATGTTATCACATTATTTACTAAGCATTACTTTTAACAAGCATATCAACCTTTAAAAACTGGCAAGGAATTGAAATATAATTTATATTGATTTTTCTTAAAATTTACTTTTACAAGTCTCATAAAAATGGAGTTTTGATACGTAGTACAGCATATTTGTTTTTTCCTATCGTATACTATTAAGCTCACAAAACAACCCTAGAAGCTTAATTTTATCAGTCAACATATTAATACTTTTTGCATTGATTTGTATTTATTTACTATTTGCTAAACGACATCACAACATTTGATATACAGCAATCCAAATAGCTTGTTATAGGCCTGTGGCAACGTTTTTCAAAGTGGAGAGGGGGATGGCAATCTCCCAAAAATCCCGCATACTACGGGCCTGTGCTACAAGTCAAAAACAAGTCTCAGCCGTTATGGGTTACCGAAGGGGTCCGATTTTTTCAATAACGAAAATACAGACATATTTGGGATAGAATATAACATTAAATTTGTGCTATTATTAAAGTTCTATCACTCTAAGTAGGCAGATGTTAACGATAGATAAACCTGTGTCACCTTTCAGAGTAACCAATGAACTCGTCCATGGATGCATTGATTTACCTGAGATTTCTACGCAAAGGAAAGCGCGAAATCTATGTATAGAAACCGTTGTGGCTGCGGAGCATCACTGATACCTTCCTCATAGAAAAGAATCCGACATTTTACACTTAATATTTTTGAATATACAAATATTTTCAAGATAAGCTTCATTTTGGTTTCTAGAAACGTCTTTATTTACAAAAATAATATACTTTTGTGTTTTAAATTGAGTAAATCAATGACCTTGGATCGTTTTAAATAACTCAAGACCCTCTAGCTGGAGTAATAATTTTAGTCAGGTACTTTGTGAACTTTACGAAAAATTCGCGTTTTTCTTGGACTACCCTCTTGGGTTTTTAAGGGAACCGATTTGGTTTTTTTTTTTTTGGATATACCGGTAAAAGCGCTTATATTTACACCATGTGTAGCATACACTGGCTTCTGTATATGCTTGCAAAGGTTCAGGAAAGTCTACCGGATGGGTATTTTGTAGGGATTACCTCAAAATACAGTAACATTAACTTTAGGATTGAATTGGGAAGTAGTTTTTCACACTTCAAAGCAAATTACAAAAATATAATTACAACAGACTTTTAGCTTATATTACAATATGTGATGATTAATACTATTATATATAAAAAGAACATAAAATTCAAGTCTATTTTTCAGAGGGGGCATCTCAAAAAGTCAAAATTCAAGAATTTTTCTTGTCTATACAGAATGCTACAAAATATGACAGGCGCTAATACTTTTAAAAAATCAGATATAATTGTGAGATTTTAAAATCCCTCGGTTAGAAATTTCGAGAGCAGATACTTTATGTTTTTTCCCTTTTTTTTTATTTTAGCACTTTTTGTAAATTCCTCTTAAATAATCAATTTATCATTACGTCAGAAACGAAGAAAAGACGATAATCTAACTATTAGGTATAAAATAGATTTTAAAAAATCTATTATGTATTAAAATTAATGCCTTAAACGAGTTAAAAGGCTTTATTTTAAGAACTGCGAACGATAGCATTGTTCTCCCGCATACCTCCAAGTCAATTTTCAAAAGTTAGCACATTTGAATGATTTTTCATATTTAAATAGATATTAATATGAATTTTCATAAAACAATATTTGTTTAGGAAAAACAAAAAGAGATAACTCTATTATTTGGGCAAAACTTGTGTTTTTCACTATAGAAATCAACGGAAAACGGAAAAATATTTTTAAAATATCCCCCCCCCCCCCCGTGAAACAAAAATTCCTTTTTACAGGTAATATGGACTGTCATTTCACAAATTCATACCAAAGCTTTTTGTGTTTCACGGGGGGAACATATGTTTACAGACAAAAAACTACAAAAATGCTTATTTTTTCACCAATTTCAAAGGGTTTTACAGCTAAAACATTGTATTCTATTAATAATATATGTTTAATTTTATATGTGTAAAACATATGAAAAAATTTAAGGAACATTTATTAATATCCAAGAATATTTTAAAATGTGTTGATGCTTTAAAGTCCGATATCAATGGAAAATATCGTCTACCCCCCTTATTTAAAGAGCAGAGCTGGGATTCATAAACATACTTAAGATTTGTGCTAAGATTCGCGCTTAAGTATGAAATAAATTCTTAGCAAAGAAAAAAATCTTAAGTCATATTCATATAAATTCTAAGTGCAATTCTTAGCTAAGTTTAATTCTGAGGAAATTAGAGCACTTAAGTTAGATCACCCTATCAACGCATACAATTTCCCGAACAAAAAGCGCACTTTTTTGTGTTGGAGGTATTTAGTTCCATGTGTATTACATCACAACTGATACAGTTTTGTCATCAACATTGCACAATACTGCATCTTACCAACTGATAAACATCTCCAAGTCAGAACAAGTTTCTAGTTGGATGTAATATCATGGTTTCTTACTGAAAGATTAAAATGTCTTCTGTAAAACATTATTTTTTATTTTGATAAAGCATTTTTTATCTATTTAAGACACCTTCTGAGGACACTTAACTTTAAGTCAATACTTAAGCACTAGGTGTATTTATGAATTACACTTCAGTATTTCTACCAAATTTAAGTAATACTTAGGGGACTTAAGTATAAAATATATAACTTAAGTGCTTTTTTAAACTTAAGAATTTACTAAGAAGTTTTATGAATCCCGGCCCTGGATTCGTATGCATAAAAATTCTAAGAATTTTCTTAAGTATATGCTTAAGGTTCTTAAGCATATTCTTAGCTGAGTAACATGCTTAATTTTCGTTGCATAAAACATCTAAGCAACATGCTCAGCAATTCTTAGCTAAGCATATTGCAATCTGCTTAAGTACACTGTTGCCATGTCAATAAAGTCACTTCCGCTTTCATTTAAATGTAAACAAACACATGTCATGATGAAGAAGCAAAGAAATAATATGAAAAATATCATTCATATTTATTTAATGATTCACCTTCCTGCTATAACCATTTTTTTTGATATTTTGATCGATTAAATTGATCAAAATATTTTGTTTGATATCGATGACGTTTATATTATCATCTACTCAGACAAAAGAGAGAGAGAAAAATGAACAAACTGTGGAGGATGTAGAGAAAAATTGGCATAATTGAGAGGGAGAGCGAATCAAACTAATTTTGAAATTATTTTACATAGAATTATAGGACATGGTAAATATTTTTCCACAATGAATTTAAGTTTCGTTTCTATTATGTGTATATAATCTCGTGTAATATTTGGCGCTTTTCCTGAATATTGTTATTAAATATCTCTCTCTCTCTCTCTCTCTCTCTCTCTCTCTCTCTCTCTCTCTCTCTCACGTTAATTAACCCACGATTAAGGTGTAGATAGAATGACTGTATAATTTACGGGTAATATGGGATACATGTAAATCAAATTCTTCCGAAAATGTAAGAATAATTTAACATGACTAGAAGTACATCGCACTGGTGAATTCAAACAGGGCTTTTCCGACTACACTGCATTGTCACAGGTGCTGGAACGTTGACAAAACTACGCAACAATCAAATGACGTCATATTTTTAACCGTTTTGATAATAAATCGCCAGCATCTTGTAAAGTATATAAATGCCATATAATAAAGTTGATACATGCAGATTGTAATTGATTTCATTGATTTAATTACCTCTTCATATTTTTATTTCATTTTTTGTAAATTTCCTTTAATCATATTTGTTCCTCTACCTCTGTGAAATATGTTAAGAAATATGCTTAAGAACTTAAGAGAAGTAAAGACCATGCTTAACTTTAAGCATATGCTGAGCATATACTTAAGAGTTGAGAAGTTTTATGCAACATTCTAAGCAATATGCTAAGTAAAATTCCAATCTGCTAAGCAGGAAACATTACTTAAGTATATGCTTAAGGACTTAAGAATTTTTATGCATACGGACCCTGGACTTATGGGTAATTAACTGTTTAACACTGGCATTAAAATTATCAGTCAATTACCATTGAACTGTTCTTTGCATTCAACAAAGATTTTACGGTCAGATTGCCATTAGTATTGAATTCAATGGGTTTAAAATGTAGGCGGGAATCTCGAGTTAGCGTGCGTAGTTCTTTAATGTGCAAAATACTGTGCAGTGGAAACCCCAGTCGGCCTCCTTAAGTGATGTAATTTTATGAAACAGAAATACTTACAAGCTCCATATATCGGACTGAAATCCATCATATGTGCCCCTTTTAATAACTTCCGGTGCAGTGTATGCATATGACCCACAGGACGTTTTTAACATTGTAGTCCTTCCATTGCAATTTCGAGAAAAACCAAAATCTGTATGTAAGAGAGACACAGCATGCATTAATTTAGGATTTTCCCAGGGTGGAGCTGGAGGGGGGAGGTTTCAACACCAAGAGAAAGAAAATTACTACTCAGAATTTTTTATGGAAAAGAATAAAGTTTTTTTAACTTCTCCAATATATATCGTGCCGTCATATGTTTCCGATAGTCATATGTTTCCGATAGTCTATTTTCGTCGCGTGAGTTTTCCCTAAAATGACGTCATATTTGTAATTACTAAGGACACCTGACGTAGGGAATCTCGCAACATCAATATATGCAAAAGATCGATAATATGCTGCGTGCAAAGGTAAATATCATAAAAATAATGCAATCAGTGGTAAAAATACTCATTTTTCTTATTACCAAAAATTGTGGTCATCAAAATAGTCTGAAAACCCTTTTAATTCGCACTGTATCTAAAGACGCTCATCATCTGATAAAATACACTTCCGGTGAGGTATTTTGGTATTGAAATTAATCATGTGACTCTATTAGTTTTTCTATGTATGGAAGCCTAAAACCGTCATAAAATTAGATGATTTTCGTAAATAACGTCACTTTTTTGTAATATTTTAGGCTGTATCAAATAAAAGAAAACGTTGTTATTCCCCATCTGCACTTGTCAGGGCATATCAGTCAGTGAAACAAGATGGAGTCCCTGTATATAGAGCAGCTAAGGAACATGCTGTTCCCTTAACTACTCTTAGAGACCGTGTTGACAATAGGGTTAACATTGATTGTACAAAAACTGGTCCAGAGCCACTTCTGTCTCAGTTTGAGGAGGCCAAACTTGTAAACCATTTGAAAGAATTAGCTTCTGTTGGATATGGTTATACAAGGACAGAAGTACTCACCATGGCAACAGATTATGCCATTCATCTTGGAAAGAAACGGATGGAAGAAAAATGCTTAAGCATGCAATGGTTCTACAGTTTTATGGGCAGATGGCCAGAATTAAGAGTTGTTAAACCATCAAGTTTGTCGGAATTAAGGGCCAGATGTGCATCAGAAACTTCAATAAGATCATACTTCAGTGAACTTGAATCAATTCTTGATAAGTATAACTTAAAGGATAAGCCCCATTTGATATATAACATCGATGAAAAGGGAATGAATACCGAGTTTAAGCCCCCTAATATAGTTGCAGGAAAAGGATACCATCCTCAAACTGTTATGTCAGAAAAAAGTAAAACAATTACAGTTATCGGTGCTGGGAATGCACTAGGAAATCAAATCCCGCCATACTTTGTTTTTCCAGGTCAGCGGATGATGCCGGAACTTTTGAGAGGGAAATCCGTTGGTGCTGACGGAACGATGACACCTAGCGGATGGTCAAACTCTGAAGTTTTCCGTTCGTATATGAAAAACCACTTTTTAAAGTATGTTCAAGGTCGAGATCAGTCTGCGACTATACTTGCCCTTTATGACGGTCACAGAAGCCACATTTCTTTAGATCTAATAGATTGGGCTAAAAACAACAATGTTATTCTATTTGTTCTGCCTCCTCACTGCTCACATATTTTGCAACCAATGGATGTAGGTTGCTTTGGACCCTTTCAACTAAAATACAATCAGGAATGTCTATCTTTTTCAAGTTTGAATCACAAAACAGTCACCCGTTATGATGTATGTGCTCTTGCTTGCAAAGCCTACACTGCTGCCTTGTCGCCAACCAATATTCAGGCAGCATTGTCAAAATCTGGCATCTATCCTTTTCAATCAGCCGATAGCATGATAGAAAAACTAAAGCAAAAAATTACTCCATCAATCCTCTACCAAAATGAAACAGGAGATAATCTTGAAATTAAAACTGAAGAAAAAAATACCACTGAACCAAATGAACTTGCAACATCAAAAATGACACCTGCAAATTCAGACACAGCCTGCAGAGAGAAACAAACAAATTGCACTGGAGATAGTAACCTATCAAATAATGAAGATTTCTTTTCAAAGAAAGGGGGAGAAGTTCAATGTAAAATTGAAAACTTAAAAAAGAAGAGAAGAAATATCAGTCATGTAATTGGAGGGAAAGCTGTAACTGAGGATGAAACACTTGGGAAAATGAGAGAATATTTAAACAATACTGCTAAAAAACCAAAAAAATCATGCAACAAATTAACTTCTAAAAGTACAAAAACTGTGAGAAAACCAATCAAAAATAAACAGGAACCAAAGAAGAACAAGAAGTGTATCGCATCATCGGACTCTCAACAGCCTGGACCATCTTGTATCAACCTTACTGATTCAGATGATTATATTCTAAACTCAGATGAGGAAGAACATGAATCGCAGATGAGTGAAAATGAGAAGTGTTGCGTTTGTAAAAATTTCTATGTGAAGTCAAGAAATGTGTATGAAATTGCTATTGTCAAATGGGCTCAGTGTGAGTCATGTGGACACTGGGTTCATCTCCAGTACTGTTCACCTGTTCGTGTTGTCAGGAAAAATACACCATTTAATTGTCCATGCTGTGAATAGATAATATCTACAAAATATAATTGCAATTGAAAACAATTGTGCACTTAAAGAAAATGGTTAACTCACTGAAACATCCATTTTCCAAGCATTATTATTATGCTAGCATTGTATTTCAATACACTAAATATTAGTAAATATTTAGTAGAATTTCATTCATAGTTGTATAATTGCGAATTTAAGATATGTGTATATGATTAAATATATTAAACATATTTTTACGATAAAATAGCTTTTTATTTTGATTATTGCACCAGTTGTTCACCTTACTTTAGTAAAGAAATATATTGACGAATCAAACTATCGGAAACATATGACGCTCGTTTTGATTGGTCAAATACGGTATCCATTTTATTTATACCTAGAAAATGCATATGATGACGACTTTATGCCAATTTATTGTCGGCGATTTTTAATGCAATGCTTAAGGTTAAAAAATAATACGATTTAAAAATCATTGAGAAAACTGGGAATCAAATCGGACCTTGGTTGTTGTTAGACTATCGGAAACCCATGACGCCAGGATATATATATATATATATATATATATATATATATATATATATATATATATATATATATATATATATATATATATTAGGGATGTCAACGAATAGTCGACTATTCGACTATCAGTCGAATGGACCGACGATCGAATAATGAAACGACATTCGAATATTATTTTAACTAAATAAATGCAATAAATGAGTGATACATGAGATGGAATTCTCATCAAAAAATTGAGAAACAGTCTTCCTCATAGACAGTCGATAATTTTCCTCAACAAAAACGGTAGATTTTCCATGTACGTATAGAAAGTACAGCAATTATAAGTGCTTCACTAATGCGAGAATTAATTGTCAGTAACTGCCTGTGTTGTTTTTATAATAAATTACCAACCAATGTAATGGGCTTTGTTAGTAAAATTATTAATTGGACTTGATCTTATACCATGTACCATTTATCTTTTGTTATTTTAAGTTTGCTCAAATGCAAGGAATAAACCTGTTTTGATACTTCGATAATTATTAAAACAATGCGCTTACATTTTAAACTGTTTGAGGACATTTTGATACCCCCCCCCCCCCTAATAAGCTTTAAAAAATATCGGCTGTCAATTTTTTAATGCTTACTAAATAAAAAATGACTGCATGTACAGGCCGATTTACGAATTCTATTGATGGGGAAATAATAAATTTTGGAAAATTAGGTTTCTAAATTTATTTCATAGAATCATGCTATCCACGCGTTACGTTGCATTAATTTTGATGTTACTTTTTAAATAGATTTAAGTAAAAATTTTTTGAGTATGTACCAATGAAGTTTGAAATAAAACTGTATTTTCAGAAAATGTTCCGAATATTCGACTATCGTTCGAATTATGCAATCGAATGATCGACTAAGGAAAATAAATATTTTGACATCCCTAATATTTATATATATATATATATTATAGAGAGAGAGAGAGAGCACAAAGAAATTCACTTTTATAAGGATACCCACTTCCGCACCAACCCGGGGTTGAACTCTCTAATGTCCAAATAACTGTATATTATTACTTTCATTCTCAATGACTGTGTATAGTGATGGGCGGCGCCGCGAGAATTCCATCGAAAGCAAGTTTTTTCACTTGCCTAGATGGCCAAGCGGTTTGGTGCGCTGTTCCTGTACTGCTCGCTCCGTGATCGGAAGGCCGTGAGTTCGAATCTCAGCTGCGACTGACCTAAGTCAATAAAAAATAGGTAGCAACTGTTCCTTCGCCAAGCATTCGGCACTTTGAAGTAAAAGTTGCGGGTCCTTCGGGTGAGACCTGAAAATCCAAAGCTCCGTGTCACCACAGGCGTTAGGACGATAAAGATCCCTCACTGCTCAATGGCCCTAAGTGCCGAGTAAAGGTCAAAATTTGAAGCCCTTCACCGGTATATGGTGACGTCTCTATATGAGTGAAAAATTCTCGAATGGGACGTAAAACTACATACAATCAACAACTCAATCTCTGTAAAGTCACCCGAGTGAAGCAGTGGTTAGAGCGTCTGCTCTAGAGTCGTGGAGTAAGGAGCTGATCCTTACGTCGTGGGTTTAAATCCCACTGTGGGACGTGGAGACCGGTCCTTTGGATAAGACCGTATAAACCAAGGTCCCGTGTCGTAGTAGGTGCTGGCACGAAAAAGATCTCTCACTGCTCAATGGCCCTAAGTGCCTAGATATGCTTTTCTGTGAAGTCGATATATCGATGGATTGACCTCATGAAAGGACTATATTATATTACATTATATAATATTATATTATATTATATTATTAATATTATATATATATATATATATATATATATATATATATATATATATATATATATATATATATATATATATATAGAATTCCATGGGCAACAAAAGTTTTTTTTGATTTGCCTATATGACCGAGCGTCTAGTGTGCTGTTCCTGTACATTCTGTAGGTCAGCCCCGCGAGTTTCCTTAAAAATGTGAATCTCTCTCTTTCTCTCTCTCTCTCTATATATATATATATAATTATATATATATATATATATATATATATATATATATATATATATATATATATATATATATATATATATATATATATATATATATATATATATATATTTCTTAGGGATGTCAAATCGGTCAATATTTGATAATCGGTCACTCGGACGATTTTCCGATTGAGTACCCGGGTACTCGGTAAAAATGTAAAATGCGAATGTGTCAATTTTATTGAAGCCAGTTAATCCCTGTTTAACGCCATCGATGATTTTTTTTTTTTACGTTTTTTACGCCTCTACGCAAACATCGAGCAAAACGAACATGATTTTTTGCGCTAAATTTATTTATCAAATAAACACTAATGACAACAATTAATACACCAATAATTACAAATGGTTCACAGCTTTTGTTTAGGAAGACGATTTGATCAACGCAAGAGGAAGACAATCTGTAACGCAGCTTTGCAATGATTAGACAAGCTCAAGAAAATGTTTTAAAGAAAGAGACGGTGTCGGGATCGCGAGACGTATATTATTAAATTAATACATGTATGTTGGTTGTTTTCCCCATATACGCTATGTTTACACTGCACAACTAATTTATACATTTTTTGAATCTTTGGTCTTTTCAAATGGTTTTTTTCACTGTTTAAGTGGGTAGCAGCATTTCTATGTATGTCCGATTTATACCCTATGCCAACTAAATTATTTTAGGATAATAAACCCTTATAAAACTATGTTCATTAGATACAAATTATTATTATAGCCATTCCAAAAATAAAATGATAACAGCTGTGTATACCCGGTGATTGGTCACGGTAATTAATACTGAATAAACATGTACACACCCCACAGGCGATAACGGGTATTATTAACAGGCTTGGTTGACGCTAATTACAAGGTAAACACGGACAATAATTATTCATTTTGAAGTTACATTTTTTAAAATAAGTTTTAAATAAAAATATATACTTTGCACTTTGAAATATGAAAAAAAAATATATACAGGTAACTCTCGATACCTCGAAGTCCGCGGGACCGAGGAAAAACTTCGAGAGATCAAGAGTTCGAGTTTTCAAGTGTCCGGAATTTTCCGGGTTTGTAGACGGGATTTAAAATTAGTCTTACCGGATGTAATTATTTTCATGCAGTCTCAACCTTTTACACGTGGCTTTTATAAAACAACTATATTTTTTCGTAATTTAGATGAATATTTCATTAAACTGAGTAAAGCAAAAAATGTATACCGTCATTTCATGTATATTTATTTATTCTTTGTAATACAGACATCATACTACGCATTTGTTACATGAAAACGACATTTTACAGCGTCGTACACGTATAAAGCTTGGACTATTCCAAACATGATCACTGAACGCAGTTTTTTAAGTATTTGTCCAATAATAGTCGTCATATTGACATTGAAGCTGTTTCTGCTTTTTCATATTTCGTTTAACTTTGACACTGACTTGAAATAAAAATTAGATTAGTGTTTCGTCTTTTAATCAATTACTACTTTTCACTGACACTGCGTCTCTCAATTATCGTAAGACAGCTAATCGATGATAATTATTTTAATAGCATATAGGCAAAATGTGATTCATTATAAATCAATTATCACCTTGCAGCATAAGTGTCACTTGAATAAACATCCCGTTCCTCGAGACCTGCGTCTTCTGCCTTGGGCCATTTAAATGCCCAGGTATAGGCACTAATTATATAAACTTGTACACACATAGCCACTTCGAGGTATCGAGGGTAAATTCTAATAGAATATGCATAGCGGGACTGCATTTTGACTTCGAGGGATCAAGGGTTTCGAGAGATCAAGAGTTGAGAAATCAAGAGTAAATTTGCTTAGTTATATAGGGGGAAAAATTGGGACCGGAGACTCACTTCGAGCGATCAAGAACTTCGAGAGATCGAAGTTCGAGCCATCAAGAGTTGCCTGTATATACATCCGAGTAGCCGAGTAGCGATTTTAGTATTCGATACTCGGACGTTCGATCGAGTACCCGGTTAACCAGGTATTCGTTGACATCCCTAATATATATATATATATATATATATATATATATATATATATATATATATATATATATATATATATATATATATATATATATATATATATATATACACGTCTTACGTGTAAGAATTGTAACTGGCTGATTGTTCTCTGGAATCTTTAGTCTAATACGCTTTGTACTGGTAATTATCCAAGTATCAAACAAACTATTGTCCGTGTGTAAAATATTATTTAAGAATAAATCGTGTCCAATGCCATTATTTTTATTTTAGAATTTAAATCTAATATCTCTAAAAATCCAAGGGAGTGAACTCCCACCCACACATTCCCGTCCCCTTTGGATGAGATTAAAGTATATCACTTACCGGTTATCTTAAGTTCATGGTTTTCATCAAGTAATATGTTTTCACATTTTAGATCTCTGAAAATTAACATATAGTTGAGAGAGAGAGAGAGAATTGTCTTCTAAAAACGTGCTTTTTATATTAAAAAAATTTTCTCCTCGACTAGGGAGAATAACTCTTAAAACATCATTTAATTAAAAAAAAAGTTTCAAAATAAAGCTTGAAATCTTTTCTTGCAAAAATTTTCATTTCCTGCATCTCAATTGATTCAAGGTTTTATCCCAAAAAAGAGCAAAATACATGTACAATGTAAATACATCCTAAGATACCAACACTTATTAGCATGAGATGAAATTACAAGTGATTTGGAATGTTTTGCAATGAAAGAACAAGCTTTTTTAAGCTGTGTATTATTACACTATATGTTATCTTAGGTTGTTGGGACGTAAATTAATGTTGCAACTGCATAACCTGCGTATATCTGTACAAATAATCATCCAAAGTACGTATACCAAAGGATTAAATAGATTAAATATTGTTTTATTGATACATGTATATGTGCCATAGTACGTTTCTTTTATGGAAGAGCTACTGCTCAAGAAATCTGAACAGTTGATAGGCTTAGTGGTGTTTACCGATTGATAAAAGACAATGGTTTTCTTAAGAAATAAAGGATAAAATATTCATATATATGTAAATATGTGACAATTTAAGTAATGAAATACGGAAATAACGAACAATATTCATGGGAGCAGAGCAAACATGGACTTCTAAATCATTAAAAGTGGGATCAGGTGCCATGGAGGAGAAAGTACCCCCTGTCGACCAGTCACCCCCGCTGTGTCCTCCTTGTCATTATCGGGAAAACGGAAAAATCCGTAGATGATTCAGTCTTACAATTGGCATGAAAAACGGCAGTCAGCATTCGAACTTAATGATAGATTGTACTTACTAAGAAACTTAGTGCATGATTATAATAAACAATGGTGCCTCTTCAAAGATTGTGCAATTCATGGCCTCTGGGTCAGGGATTCTGCGGGTATTTTGTTTATATATTCTGAAAAATGCATTATTTTTTTTTACAATCTTCTTTTCTTCCCCTGGGTATTTAGGAAATATACAGATATGGCTATGATGGGCAAGGATACTTTTTCCAAAATTGTGAAATTCATGGCCCATGGGTTAGGGGTTCTCGTTTTAGGGTGGGGCTCTATCGATTATATAGAGAAAAAGCATTATTTCATTAAAAAATCTTTGTCTCTGAGTCTCTGGATATACTAAGCTAACGGTTATGATAAGGAAGGATGCCTCTTCCAAAAGTTTGAAATTTAGGCCCCTGGGTCAGGAGTTCTGGTGTTAAGGCGGCTCTATTGATTAATATATAATGAAGATGTTGTATTTCTCTGAAAATCTTCTTCTTTGCTCCTTGGTATTTGACAGATGAACTAAGTGCATGTTTATGATAAGTAATGGTGTCTCTTCCACTCTCTGACATTTATGGCCCCTGGGTTAGGGGTACTGGTTTAAGGGAGAGAATCTATTGATTATAGTCTTATATCTAATTAATAAATACAAATGAGAAAAAAACTTCTCTTTGTACATTAAATGTTCTTCAAAGACCATCTGGGAGGTCAATCTGAGAGGGTGTAAGATGAGTTTATGTGCTCAAGCATTATTGTTTTGTCTAGTCAACATTGTGATATTGAAAAATGAGAATGCGTTATCACTGGCAAGTTCATACAAGTAAATAGATCTACTTTTTGATTACTTTTTTGAAATACCATTGGTATATACACATACTTGTGAATTTAGAGACATATTTGTGAGCATTTTCGATGATTTAATTGCTGGTTTTCAGAACTTGAGGATCGGACTACCTTAAAGTCTTTTATTTGACTGGAACTTATGAATCAATTACCTGTGAACGATGCCAGCATTATGGATATGCTGCACTGCACTACATAGCTGACGGAAAAGTTTTCTAGCCATTTCCTCGCCGATCCCTTTTTTATTTTCTCCGATGTGTCGATTAATAAGGTCCAATAGATCTCCATTGGGGCAGTATTCCATTACTATGTAGACATTATGATGAGTCTGGATAATCTCATGCACTCTTACCTAAACACAGTTATAATTAATACTTTGGTTCCTCTCTCTCTCTCTCTCTCTCTCTCTCTCTCTCTCCTGCATTTTTTTAATATATTTTATAAAAAAAATGGTGTTGAACATTTCAAAATGTAAAATATTTTTACATATTTAATAATTTTCCTTTACGGGTTCAAGAATACCCCCCCCCCCCCGAAATACAAAAATTAGACGAGTTTAGGAAATGTTTTTAAAAAAATAATAAAAATAAAAAAGATTAAAAAATAACTAAAATATACAGCAATCAATCTTACCACATTTTTATGTGGTTGTAATTTAGAATGATTCTCCAATTCTCTCGGAAGAAATTTCTGCATGAATTCTTTGGCCACCGTTTGTTTGTCGATAACTTTAATTGCAACCTAATTTAAAAAGAAAAAAATCAGGATGTTTTTTATTCTCCTTGACCTGAAATTGTAAAGATTTTGTGTAACTGGAAACGAATTACGAGTATAGAATCCAAGAAATACCTGTGATAGTGACACATTCAATTGATTACCGATCAAAATGTTATACAATTATTGCTGTTTTTTAGGTCAATACGATGATTTAGCCACCTGAGGAGTACAATATTCACCGAGGCTTGAAGGGCGAGGTGAATATTGAACTTCGAAGGTGGCTAAACCATCGTATTGACTAAAAAACAGCAATAATTGTTTCATTATATGATTCAATGATTAAATGATACAAACTTATTAAACAGTTCATGCCATCTTTTTACATTTACTGAAGTCCCAGACAAATGCAATGAGAGAAGTAGGTTTAAAGAAACATTCTAAGAGTATTGCATTATAGCAATACTAGTCCCCTATCGGCAAGTGTAATCTGGTTCCCGTTAAAAATTGAAAATGTCATAATTCCGTCAAAAAATCAATGAAGCGGAACGAAATGCAAACTTGATCTATAACTCATCAAGGTAAAGTCACATACCAAAAACCAACTCAATATCTGCAAGCGTTTAGAAAAAAAATTGCAGAAAACCAAGTGGGACAGACTGACAGACAGATAGAGGGACAGCTAAACAGACAGACGGACAGACAGGCAGACAGACGGACGGACAGACTCAGAAGAAACCTATACATGTAGTCCCGTCCAGTTTCACCGGTAGGGGAGTAATAAGCATTACCAGTTGTATTATTTGGAATTCTTTAAATCTACATTTGTTATGACAAAAGAAATAATGTCAGGCTCTTATATAAGGTCGATTTTGATGGAGGGGGGGGGGGGGATTTACAGGGAAAAATGACAGCTGAAAAAAATCTTTAATTAGCCGCCACGAAAACAAAATTCTCTTAACTTCAAATTTAGTTTTGGGGTTGGGGTGGGGTTAGGGATGAGGGATTAAGGTCCATTAATGGGGGACCAGCCTTTCATTGAATATTTCAGTCTAAATCAAAAATAAAAAGTTACGTGCAGGAAAAACAAGATGTGTGTGTGTGGGGGGGGGGGTCCCCTGCACCCCCCGAACCCCAGAATCACCCCACTCAATTTATATTCTCTAATGTTATGTTCACCTGAGTGGAAGTCGCGCGGTAGCACGTAAAATAGCTTTCCAAAACTATCTGTATCAATTTGGAATTTCCCGATCTATTTTAGATCTTATATAAGGCCGCAATACATCGCGGCGTAAACCATTGTTCAAAGAGACGTAGGTGCTGTTGTGTCGATAAAGCATTGATTGTGTTTTTTCACGTGATATACATGAACATAGTTTTAGACAGCAGTACAAGGTGCGCAATTATTATTTAACTCTTAATTAAATATCATCAAAACGTTTTTAAGTACACGCAAACGTCAAAGCGTTTGTACGGTATTTGAAGCAACTATTAGTCATCTAAAACAACTCAAATATCAAATGTGAGCATGGAACAGTGTCTTTGGAATATAATTTTTCAATTTCAGCCTTATAAAGTAAAAAAGAAGCTGTACGGTTTTTCCGGTGACCAAATAAATATTATGCGGTAAACCGACGATGACCACCTGTCGCTATTGAAACGTAAACACGTAGTAGACCGTCATGCTTTGCGACTCATTCAATTGATTGGAGAATGGGCTTGACGAAAACGTCGTCATGTGTTGAAAAGTGCCTTCCATAAAAGGTAGTGTACCCTACCTGTGCAACGTCACGTGCAAGTGAATACAACGCAGTATTTTTTCTACATTGTTTGATATCAGCCAATCAGAGAGATAGTAATTATTCAATCATATAATAATGTCAAATACATGCATATTATGCTGACATGCACGTTACAAATCGTTTGCATGTTAACATAATTAACTCGCATGTTGACATAAATAGGTTGCATGACATTATTATGTTGCATCTTGCATCTATGATGTCAGAAACTAGCGTTAATAAGTAAATTTACCCATATTAAAATCAGATTCTCCTAACAGATTTGTAACTTGCATGTAAACATAATTAACTTGCATGTCAACACAATGAACTTGCATATCGAGATACTTTTCTTGCAGGTTGATATTAGGAGGTGGGCGTATTGGGCGTGTGATCTGCAGGAATCATATGTACGAAAATATCCACGATTTGGTCGGCTGACCACAGCTGGACAGACTTTACAAAGTTACGCAGACATAGGAAAATGTTACATTTAGTTTGAAATACCTTGTCAGATTGTTTTATTTAAGTCTGTTTATCTTAATAGTTACGATAACGCCTCATTTTAATAAGATAATAGGGTATATAGTTAATTGCAATTACATGTGTATATATTTTTTTTTTTAATAAACTTTATTTCCCAGACCTAATCTATAACAAAGGAGATATCCTTATATTTGAAAAGAAGGCAGCTATCGGGGATGGGGCCCCGACTAAGCTCCAAGTGATACAATAGCTATTGCATCTCGCAGGATGCATATGCCTGTATAATCAAGATACAATGTATATTATAATTTATATTATGTAAATTTATACTTTAGATATCATATAATTCAATATACTGATTTTTGTACAGCTTGCAAGTTAAATTGATAAGATGTATTATAATTATGCCACGCTGCCATAATGAGTCCATGTCGTCCTACAGTCCATATTTGACTCATATGGCAGCTCTATCAGAGGACTGGACCCTCTTAATAGTGGCTATTAATAAAACATTTCTTATAGTTTATACATATTCATGTTTTAACATTGAAGTACAATAGAGAAAAAAAATATATTGAAAACGAAAAGTCATACATAATAATGAGATTAAGTTAGACTTTCTTCGACCTTTTTAAATATATTTATTTTCCAGTTCTTGTATTTTGATCTTTTAACGTAGGTCGCGGGTTTGCAGGCCATTTAAAAGTGTCCGAAAACATACCATGAAAATTAGTTATATGAATCCTCTACCTTCGTTTTATATTCTCTGAAAATTTTATAAAATTCGTCTGCATCGTTTTTATGTAACTAAATCCCAAACATGCCATTGTTGTCGTTACATTTTCGACGTTATTCTATTGAATTATATAAGAAAAACGTCGTTTTCGGCTCATTTTGAGGCAAGATTTTGTTTAAAAAAATATCAATAACTTTTAAATGGTGCAGACGAAATTGTTTTCCCTTTGGTATTTTAACAAAGAATTGATTTGAAATAAATCAATGTGAAAAAATTAATATGTCTTCGGGTTAGTTTTCGCGTAATTTAAATGTGGATAATTGCTTTTATATCGCAAAATGTAACATTTTTAAGAACGACGTCATAAAATATCGCGACGTCATGCTTGACGTCGTGAATATCTATCCGGTATTCGGTGCAGAAAAATACGCTAAAATAATTTTTATAAAAAAGAAATTCACGTCTGTCTGCTTTCAAGTGACCCGTGAATCGTATCATAATAATTTTATATCAATGAAATGATTATTAGACATGTTTCTCTTCAGATTAGGGTTTTTGTACGTCTTATATTAGTGAAAATTCTCGCAAGGGACGTAAAACAACAATCAATCCTTTAGTTTCTTTCTTCCAATTTACTTTCTTTATGTGTTGTTTTCTGTTTGTTTTGTTTTTTTCGTTGATTAGACGCATCCTTACATTTGGCTGTGTATTTTTCTTTTAAAGCGTGCTGGCAGAAAACGGTATCCTTTAATTCAAGTAATTCAAGTATATAAAATGTTTTTATTTTGACCATTCAGCAAGGCGCTCAAATCTACGAATTTCTGCCAAATATCGTCCTGGCTAAATACAATATATTTTCAGTATATATTTAAACAAAATATTTATTTTTACATACCACATTTTCAGAGGGGTAAATGGGACAAGGATTTAAAAATTAATTTTATTGACATAATCAACAGCCAGTTTTTTTTAAGAACATTAATTCTACTTGTTGGACATGGAAAGCAAAGTAGCGAATAAAATCTGTAGGTTACAGCATTGCAAGCTGTTGCTTAGAGGATGGTTCATTTCAGGGGGGGGGGGGGTTACAGATTTTGGAAATAAATAATCTGTCCTCGAAAATGTTGAAAATAAATAATCTGTTCTCGACTGGGCAAGAAAATAAATAATCTGTCCAAGACTAGTTTTAGACCCCACCCCCACCCCCCTCCGGGAGTTTTCAACTTTGTTGTTTTTCTTTTTTTTTTCTTTTTGCTTAACAGACTTTTTTCAGTGAAGAAAAAATAAATAATCTGTCCTTGTTTTTTTGGAAATAAATAATCTTTCCTTCACCGACATGAAAACAAACAATCTGACTCGGTAAAATTTGCCCCCCCCCCCCCACCAACCTCTCCCTCAGAATCAAATAGTTGTCCCCTAACAGGAGGTCAGTGTCGCTAAAAAATTGTCTTAATGTTTCATCATACCTTAGCAGTATTTAATTTATGATAAACTTGTACATCTATATATTTTAAAAAATAACCTGTTTAAAAATAAAATTTAATCTTTTGATGTAACAGGTGTATTTGCGATTTTTTTTTTAGATAATGGCTTCTTTCTTAATAAAACAAACTGATAATTCAAATACGATCAAAGGAAAAAAAGGTCAGTTGAACCTTGTGTCCATATCGTTTCGCGATACCAAGTGAAAACAAATCAAACTCAATTTCTCGGGCCTTTCCGACAAGCCGAAAAACAACCACTTGTTTTTCCAAGATTGCCGGAAAGGCCCGAGAAGATGCGATTGATAACAAATAATTAAACTTTTTTTAATGTTTCCAGTGTCAATCATTCGAATAAACCTTCTTCACTAAATTACCAATTCCAACAAAAGTTTTATCTAAGTATTGTATCGACTATACAAATCGTAAAAAGCCTTCATTATTTGAGATAAATTGTTGCTTAAATAATATAACACTAAACTACCAATTCCAAAGTTATAGCTTAATAATGATATACTGAAGAATTTGATAAAACGGAAATCA